CAAGATGAATGGGAAGGGGCTTTTAAACTGAAAGATAGATTCCCTAACATCTACAATATTGCTAGTGAGAGGGATATTACTGTCGATAAGTGTATGGGAACGTTAGTGGGGGGAGGGGATGGACTGTTCAGGTGAGAAGGAACTTGAAAGAATGGGAAGTTGATGAATACTGCAATTTACTCAATGTGCTGACTGAAATTAACATGAATAATAGGAAGGATAGGAGGATTTGGAAGTTGGATGAGAAGAATGGGCTTTCAATGAAGCCTTATTACACTTTTATAGCTAAAGGCGGCAATGAAAATAATGTGACAGCTCCATTTAGACAAATCTCGAAAATTACAGCTCCCCCTAGGATGGCTTTCTTTACTTGGGAAGCCTCAAGAGAAAGTATTTTGACTATTGATATGTTAAAGAGGCGGAGCAACATTCTTGTTGACCGATATTACTTATACAAGGCTGATGAGGAAACATGTGACCACAGTTTATTATTTTGCCCAGTTACTCACAGTTTATGAATGTCGGTATTCGGGATAATGGAACCGAGTTGGGTAATGACGAGTAATGTTAGTAAAGAATTGTGGGCTTGGGCAGGTTTTTGTAAAAAGAAAAAATATTTATTTTTTATTCCACTTACCATTTTTTGGATCGTGTGGAAAGAAAAGAATGCAAGAGTAATTAAGGGAATTTAAACGGACTTTATAAACATAAAGGATAAATGGTTTAATACTTTTGGTTCCTTTTTATTAGGTCCTGACATATTACATTAGGAAGATTTGGGATGCATTATCGACCACTTAATTGATATGTAACTTTTATGTAATTGGGTGGTACTCTCTTAATACCTTTGTGAATAATAATACTTTCATCTTTTATTTAAAAAAAAAAAATTCCAAGTACAAAATCAAATTAATGAAATGCTAAGCTCCACTTGATACATGAAAATGTTTTCTAGGTCCATTTCTTATATAATATATATATATATATGTATAGGTATGTATATTAGCATGTACATGCCTGGTAATTAAGTATAAAAAGGATAGAATATTACCAATTTAGCTCATGAATATGGGTTATGCTGCAATTCAATCCCAAAACCTACTTTCATTATAATTTAATCCTTGAACCTATAAAATTGTTCAAAAACACTATTTTAAAGAAACTTTTTACAAAAGTAGAAATATCTATTTCTATCTTACTTAGTGACATAAAAAATAATTTAAAAATATAATTTTCTATTTATGACTAGAAATTGAAAAAGAATAATATGGTCACTGCAGGGGTTTTTTTTTTATTTAAGTTTATTATTTGCATGATTTAAATAAAATAAACTAATTGTTTTTTTTAAGTGTATAATATTTTGTTATTATAATTTTCAAACTCTACAAAAAAAAAAAACAAGATATGGATAAAACAGGAAAAAAAAAAAAGTCAATATCATTTTCTATCAAAATTCTCAAAGCTGTACAAAATGATCATCGATTGAGATAATTTTGCATGTTTAAGGGTTAAATTATAATGAAAAAAACTCTTGGGACCTAAATATAACATAAAAAACTGTTCAATAACTAAATGGTATTTCCCTAAAAGAATAGTTGGCCATAAAATATTAAAAAGGACTTTTTATTATTTTCACTATCATAAATATTTCTTAACATAATTTCTTAAATATTTTTTAAAATAAAAAGTTCAATATTATTTTCACTTTTGAGCTACCAGACACTAAAAAAAATAGATGTGTGAGAAATAATTTTAATCCTCAATCAACGAGTAAAACATACCGTCAATTGGTTTGGAATGTCAACAAAATTTCTTGTCAATATTGTTAATTTATATTTTGAGGAAAAATATGTATTAACAGGAAAAAAAAAACATAAATAGAGAGAATTAGGTATTCTCCTAAACAAAACCAAAAGAAGAGAGATTAGCAAAGCCCAAGAAGGAATATTTATTTGGCCAATCTAACATAAAACAGATATAGAAACACCCTTAAAATTTCAATTAGCCTTGGTGTCAACATTTTGAAAATTAACATTCTATAAAGATAAATATCCCCTCAAACTGATAATCTAGAAGTAATGGTGGATAGTCAGCTCATAACAGTAGCGAAAAGCACTTACTTCTATCACAGACATTAGAGAAGCAAGCGACTTTGAGGCATGAAGATTAAAGAATACAATTCAGAAATTAAATGTAGTAACTTACTTCATGCTTTTTCTTCAAACTCATGCCTTGGGCAAGAACAGTATTAGGCGATGTCATGCGCAAATTTGGTAACACCTGCAATATGTCCGAATGTATCTTTATGCTTACTTTTCCTTTTTCCCCTCAATGACAGATAAATAAATAGAGAAATAAATAACAAAGTTTGAGTTAGTAAGCACCAAATTGAAATTTTTACTGCAGGTTAAACACTAGAGAAATGAAATCTGACGAAAAGATACAGAGGGAAATATAAAAAAAGGTGTGAGAACAGCAAGCTGAATAAGAAAACATCAATGAGGACGGGAATAAAAAGTTTCTTTTTGCATAGTTATTAAATTGTTTTTGTTGGATTTTTGCTGCTCGAGTTGTTTTTATTCTTAATTCTGCTTCATTGCATACCAAGAGAAACTAACCAAGAGAAAGTGGGGGTAGCAGAAAGCAGAGGAGAAGAGAGAGAAAGAAAGAGTCGACAGACAAAGCTCATAAGAAGAAGATACTGTAAAATATGACACAAACAGAGGTAACATGTACATCTGCAAGTGAAGACCCATTTACTGGGCTGGCATGCTGCCAGGAGCAATGAGAAGCACAAAAGCAGAGGCAGGAAATGCAAAAATAGAGACTGAATCAACTTCAGCCCCCAGTTTGTTTCTCTTCAGGACTCTATCTTAGTTGGATGTTGTGACAGAATCCATAACTAGAATCCTCCCAAAAGCAATAAGAACAAAATGAGAAAAACCACAAAGCCCAATTGAGAGGATAGTTGGCAAATCTATATGCAAAATAGACAGAGAACAATCTAACAAATATGCATCTGTCTTCGCCCAATGAGATGCCAAAGAAGACAACCCCACACCAGAATAACAGGAAAGGGGAGAAATGATCCTTAGAAATATTGTCATTCCTCTCCAACTAAATCACCCATAAACCAGCAAATATAGTCTGCATCTTAGTGTCTTCGCCTCCTTCCTACTACCAATACCACAAAAAGCAAAAGAAATAACCCTGCAAGATTTGGAGAAACCCAAGAAAAACAGTAGTAGTATCAAATAATCAGTCAAAAGTCTCCATGCCAA